TACCATTAGGCGATGCTTAATAGCTGACCGGCCTTTTTGGGGTCACCCATGCAAATGCTGAACTGGCTTGCGATGGATGCTGCGCAGGCTCCTTCAAAACCATGAAACCAACACACACAAAAAATTAGAATTATTTTAACAGAAGAGTAGGCAGAAAGTACCAGCCAAAATATTTATTGAATAGAACAAGCAAAAACAGCACTCTGAATCAATTAAAGGCCAAACTTCAAATTTTTGTCCTAAAAAATAAAAAAAAATACCTAAGAAGGTAATTTCCTCTCAAAACAAAAGTTCCTAGCACGCTAGTGGACCCTTCAAAAATCCCGGTCCGTGTTTCCCATCTGGGCTCCTCCTTTCGGTTATTGAGGGACGTCATGGGAAAGCCTTGAGGAATGACAGCGACAAGGCTTCCTGTGACGTCCCTAGATAAATGAAAGGAGGAGCCCAGACGAGAAACGAAGACTGGGGTTTTTAAAGGGCCTGTTAGCGTGCTAGAATGCTTCTTTCGAGATTTTTATTTCTATTTTTTCTTATTTAGACAAAGAAAGTATGAATTTGGGCTTGTCAGGGCTCCTAAGCAAAATGGCTGGAAACAATAAAAATCAAACAAGACGAGGGTACTAAAATTGAAAAATAAAATAACGAAATGATAATCACTTCTCGTGTTGTGCAATTCTGGCTGCTGGTCTAACAAGTTATCATTTAGCTGTAGACAAGAGGCATTCATTATAAATAATGAGAAAAAAAATATTAGATAAAGATACTGGAATTTGAACACTAAAATAACTGGAAATAATAATGACAAACTAACAAAACTTGTTCTTTGGTGTTATTGTGGCTGCGGGTCAAACAAGTATTACCTGAAGATGGGCTTGAAGAGATAAAATAAAGCATGAACTAAAGAAGTTGCACGCTATACATGGATATAGATGCTCATAAAAAGTTAGGGGATGTTGCCAAGACCGGATTCCTCAAGCTTCCTGAGCTTCTCCGCCGCGTGTCGTAGCCACGTCTTGATTACCTCTTCAATGTCGTGATGTGTCGTTGTGATACGGGGGTTTCTTTTTACAGCTTCTGAAACGGTGTAAGGTTTGCTATTACTAGTCACCCAAAACCCAGAGTGCTAGCTATAGGGCAAAATCGCAACAATGGCATGAGTATGCTCATCCCTTCCTTGAGGCGATTGAGGAATTATCAGAAATACTTTCATTAATATAGCCAGCCAACTGATCACACTGTGAAACTTGTGCACTTTCAGAGCATATACTCCTATTAGATATTTATTGGTTATTTAGGGAAAAAAAAAACACTACCTCCAAACACCATTCCTTCAAAAAAGCATTGTCATAATGTGTTGTGTACTTATGGTAAATGAGCTCAACACACTCCAGCTGTTGGAATTTCGCCTTGCCCTTTTGCCCTTTCCAGCTGAAATTCCCCGCAACGTTTTGGGTCATTAGAGCTTCCAGCAGTCGACGAGTAGTGGCCCCTACAGTCTTCCCTCCGAGTCTTACGAACAAATTTACTTGTGTCACAGAAAACCAGGTTTATATAAATACCAGGCACTTCCATGGCATCTAGCCAAATGCTTCATAATTCCACTTACCAGCTTTTTTTCTCATGGCTTCGCTAGCCTGTAGTTGGCACTTAGATTCCATGAAGGTGTCATAGCTTGCGGGTGGCTCCTGAACGGGGAAGTTATCGTCATCGTCCTCCTTGTGCTTGTTCACAGCTTCTAACACAGTGCCCATCGGGGCAGTCAGGTTATCAAGCCTCAGCCAGATCATGTGTAGAATTTCCAAGGTGTGCCGCCTGAAACCTGAACCATCAACAGGAGCATTGTATAAAATTGTTAAAACCAGCTATCAAAGGCAATCCGAAAGGTTTTATACCTTCAGGCTCAGGTTCCTTTTATACAGTTTTACTGGCAACATTACGGCAAGGAGGTGTAGAGCTGGAGGTTGTACTGGATTGCTTAAATGCTGCACAAAAATACAGTTTCACTGAAAACAAATCAATGACAAATAAGTGACCTCGGGACCGAACAGTCTTAAAACCCTTAGAGGTCGTGAGCACTTATTCTATTTGCTACTGTTCCATTCAGGAACTATTTTGTGTGTTTTGGACACTGCACAGGAAGGGCACTCATGTGAACAAACACATAGCAAGTAATTTACCCAGTATTTTTTTTTTATTCCCGAGGTTTATAAAGGTACTTCTAAGCACAAAGGTGTTATTTCTTTTCCTATGCTACTAGTTTTTCATAGACAGCATCACAGTGGTTTTCACTAGAATCGCTAGAGCTTGCTTGTTACGATGAGTTTGAATAGGTCTCAATTAGTGCAACACTCACTGACACGTCGGGCAAGCTTTCGGCGAAAGAGGCGACCTGCAGCACTGTCGGAAGCCGCCATTATGCAACAAAGAAGACATTGCACTATTATAAACACAATTAAGCTTGAGCAGATACTCTTGGCTAGCCTCAGACCGTGCCGACGCTTCACTACGAGACATAGTTTCCTCATTCTACGCTGCAAGTGAATATTGAATAGTAATTAAAAGTTACTTACCTAATTCGCACATCTCCTCGAAAAGGTGCCTGGCTTCTTTCTTGCGCAAATAACTTCCCGCCTCCTTTTTCTTTCGTGGCGGCGTCGGCGGCGTGCGGTTCGTAGTGCGGCCATTGCGGCCTGTGTGCAGAGAGCGGATTTGGCCGTTGCTTCGGCGGCAGAGTGTATTCTACAGCAAAATCTTTAAATACTATAATCCACTTGGGATTTTATGTTGATTTTATGTCCGACTTCATTTTTGTGGTTTTGTTTTAAATATGTCTTGAACGTTTTGGCATGTGGGTCAAGCTCTAAAGCAAAAGCCGCATTGCGACGACATCACGCAATCGCTATCGCGGTATGAACTTGGCGCGCGCTGGTCGGCGGTTTAAATTGTTTTAACCTTTTTAGCAGCATTTTGGCTTTGCAGTGGTTCCTTTTTTTTCATATTTGATCCCGAAAGCTTGTTTGAAGAACCTGCAAGGCATTGCTCGAATTTAGCAGAACGGGATGCAAGGACCTTCTGAGGATATCCTTAGGACGCCACGTTGATGACGAATTCCGGATGGCCCGTAGGATTTATCCTGCGGACATTCCATGGACTGCTTTTAGTGGATGAGGATGATAGGACCTTTTGAGGATGTCCTCAGGATGTTTTGTGTTGACTGGGTAGGAATCTCACATCGGGGAAGGCAACAGTACCTTGGGCTGACATGTGCACACTAGATATCAGGAAATAGACACTCGGAGTTTTGGAGAAGTTGCCTACCTCCGATTGCAGTTGTAGCAACGACGTAACCTCAGGCGGTGGCGCAGACGGCTGTCGGCAGAAGCCCGGTGCTGTCATCCCTTGTGGTGTTGCTCTTTGGAGGTCCGAGTAGGCTGGCTCATGCTTCCTGGCTCCCATGTTGTGATGGCTGAGTGTTGAATCCCAGCAGCGGATGTGACGGCATAATCCACATATTCTGTTTGGCCATTTTCACTTGCTTGGGTTAGATGCTGGAGTGTGTCGACTCGTTCCAGGACGACTCGTTCCAGCAGTTCTGGCCTCAGGCCGCAGGTCAGCTATTGGAGATTTTCCTCCTCTGTCATGGCCTCCTTCACTCGAGCGCAGAGCTGAAGTACATCATAGAAATACTGTTCCGGTAGCTCCGATGGCAGCTGAAACCGCTGGCTGAGCTGCAGATGAACCCACTCCCGCATGCTGCGATTCCCAGAGGTCTCCATGAGCGCTGCCTTCCACGTTTTTCAGGTAGTTGGTGCGTTGGTCCCTCGGAGTGTCATGGTGTACCATTTTCGGGCATTTCCATCAAGAGCAACTCACAGGTACTGCTCCACGGCGTGTCCCGTCCCAACCCTTAACCCTTTAGAGCCAAATTTATTTTTCGGTTGATTACAAAATATATTTTTGTGGAAATGTGGTGCTTAAGGTGCTCTCAAAAAGATAGAAGCATTGTGAGTTGTGACGGGTACCCTATTTGGCTAAAAGAGGTATGTCTCAAATTCGCAACAACAGGCCACGAAGTCAATAAATTTACTGACGCCATGTAAATAAAATTAATTTTTTTTTGTTCAATTTTATATGTGTAGTAAAAAGGTCTCCAAAGGAGTGAAACACAATTTTGCTCATTGTCTTCCCACAACAAACAAGCACAGTGCAGAAAACATCTGGTTTCTACTTTATGGCTGATGGAAATTAAAGAAGCAGTTGGTGTTCTTGTTGAGGCGAAGATGTGCGTTGCATTTGCTGTACATTATGTTGGTATGCCCCTTGCAACCAGGTTTCCTGCACCGCTGCCTTGTGTCTTTGACAACCGGCCAACGTCCTGTGCTGTCCGCGCGAACGTCCTCGTCGGGAATGAGGCTCGTGGTTCCTCGTCGCTTGTTCACTTCGAGTTGAGCTTGAAGAGAGCCGGAGGGTTGTCTCCGTTTCTTTGAGGAGAGGTCATTTCCTTACTTGCATAGCGCTTCTGCAATTCCAAACCGGAATTTCAGTAGGTCTCTCTGCTTATTCTTTGGTATGCCCAGTGACTGACAGTCTCGTTGGTAGAGGAGCCAGCTCACAACAATCACCATGTCCAAAAAGTGAAGAAAAAGCTTGAGGTAAAACTTTTTTGACCTCAACTGGATCCGATAGTATGCTATCAGTGCATCAAGGAGATCAATGCCTCCCATGTACTCGTTGTACGTCACAACTGTTCTAGGACACTCAACCTGAACAGACTTCTTTTCACGCCTATCCCACCTCATGATTGTAAAGACGGGTTGTGCACCGGCAAAGGTACTCGCGGTGGTCACCGATCGGTTGTTGTACCACTTGACAATGATCACCGTCTGGTTATCCACCAGTGCCTGGTTCTTTTCTTCACTGCCTCATCCTCTTTTGCGGAGTTCTGTGTCCGAGGCCATATTACAACCCTGCAGTCGATTCGCACGCACAGTACCAAGGGCCTATATGCCTCTTTGTGCCAAACTTATGAAAAGCTTCAGAGATATGAACCAATTGTCAAAGTATAGAAGGTGGCTCAGTTGAGGCTGCACGCACTGAGCGAGCTTTATGACGACGTTACCACTGGCCCCAATGTCAGGAAACCCCGGCACTTGATCTATGTGGCCTGTGTACACGTCAAAAGAGTGTACAACACCGCTGGAGTGACAAAGTATGAATATCTTGTAACCCCACTTGTGAGGCTTCTTGGGGAGGTATTGCTTGATGCTGGAGTGCCCTTTGAATGGTACTATCTGTTCGTCCACACAGAGACATTGTTCCTGAGGAATCTCCTCGAATTTCGGGAGCAGCATCTCGAGAGGCGGGCGAATCTTGAACAGTTTATCCTTCGGTGAGCTGTCGGCTGGTGGCATGCTGAGGTTGTCGTTGAAGTGCAGCGAGGGTTTGATCTCCTCCAGGCTTGTACAAGATACTCACTAAAAGTATTGAAGGGGGGATGGTAGGGTAAATGGGTCATCTTGGTTACAGCTTTGTGTCTCAAAAGCTATTGCATATTTTCACTTGAAATTTTATGAGCTGAATACAGTGAAAGCTCGTTAGTTCGAACCACATGGGGAAGCTGCTTCAGTTCGAACTAACGAAAGTTCGAACTAACGAAAGTGAAGAACCACAGTACACTCACTGCGATTTGGAAGCAGTAGGGCATGTCAGCAATTTAATGCTTCAAAAAGTCTGTGATCATAGTCTGCCTTTTTTCTTTGAAGGCGACAGCAAGCACTTTTTGCTCTAACGAGTGAATGTAACGGAAGGCCTCCTCTGCCCCTTCTTCAAAACTGAAGAAGAGACGGGCGGCATTCAATCCAGCCATGATCTCCGCAGCGGAGGGCCGCAGTGGTGCTTCGTCTTCCTCCTCCTCCTCGTCACTGGCAGCGACAGGTTCAGCGCTTCTGACTTGAGAAATGATGTCCTCATCCGTCAGCGCACCACACACCACTGCATTCGCGTCCACATCGACATAGTCCGCAAAGGAGATGTCGTCCGAAACATCCGCGACGACGCCATCTTCGAGCGCAGGTGGCTGGTCTCCTCCTTGCAGAGCTTGCGCTTGTGCGCCAAAGTCGCAGTGGCAATAGCAATTTGCTATCGTAACCGCAGTTACCTGCTCGCAAGCATGCACAAGCATGTGTAGCGTACTTAGGAGCGTCAACTGATATAAGGACAACGAGCGGGTCGGTATGGATTGTAGAGTTTGGGTCGTCCCAAAGCGAAGAGAAAGGACGAGGAGAATGTGCTTGTAAACTCTAACTATATTTTATTTTGCAACTTGAACGGGAGGACCGATCGTGGTCCCCACACCTGTGCCGGACGGACAGCATCTGGGTTCGACTCGTCGGGGTCCCTTTCTTCTTTCTTTTCCCCGACGATGTCCTCCTTTCCGGTCCTTCTTGCAACACGTCTCTCCGTCCTGGCGGCTCTCTTTGTTTCTCAAAGGGAGGCAGGCCGGGGAGAGATATCCAATTCCCAATAGTGCTTGCCGCTTCCGTCTCGTGTTGGCTTCTTCTCGTCTGAGAAACCGCCTTGGCAGGTGGCTACGACTACACCGATGTCGCCACAGTACTCCCCCCCCCCAGTGAGCGGGCGAGCGTTTGAGTGCCGTTAGGGCCCGTGGGGCGTCTTGTAGGGTGAACGGAGGGGAGCGTTCGGTGTCGAATGGTCTGTGATGCCAAGTCGTGCTGGCCAGCGGACGCGGCGGCCGGAACGTGTTCGGCTGTGTGGCCTTGCCTGCGGAGCGCCAGCGCACGAGCTGTCGGCAGGAGGGAGAGTGTCTGATGAGGGCGATGTTCTTTCCGGCGGGGGTGTAACACGAGCCGGCGTGGCAGATGGGGCGCTATCAAGATAGCCCGGTTTCACGCGGTCCAACGCAACAACTTCCTGGCGTCCGGGGATTGCAAGTGTCATATTCTTTGATCCTTGCCGCGGCACCTTGTACGGCCCGTCGTATGGCGCTTGGAGGGGCTTCTTCACGGTGTCATTTCGTAGAAAAACATGCTTGCAGGTCGCCAATTCACTGCTTACGAAGGAAGACGGGCCGTGGTTTTGACGCGGTGATGTGGCGCGGAGTTGCGTCATGGCCTCTTGGAGTTGGTTGGCGTAGCTTGTGGGGTCGGGACAATTAGCGGCCGGCACGGCCTCGAAGAATTCGCCCGGGAGTCGAAGGGTTGTTCCATAGACCAGCTCCGCGACGCTGCAGCCGATGTCAGTTTTTAGTGCTGTGCGCAGTCCGAGCAGAACGAGTGGCAGCACCTCCGTCCAGTCTTGGCGCTGATGGGTCTTGAGGGCGGCTTTGAGCTGACGGTGGAAGCGCTCCACCATGTTGTTGCTGGCGGGATGGTAGGCGGCCGTTCGAATCCTTCTCGACCCCAGCAGCTTCATGAGGCTGGAGAAGAGATTGGACTCAAACTGCCTGCCTCGGTCTGTGGTGACTGTCGAGGGCGTGCCGAATCTCGAAATCCACTGCGCGACGAAAGCGCGTGCCACTGTGTCAGCGGCAGGGTTGTAAAAGTTACTTCAAAAATGTACCTAAGATACAGTTACAGTTACTCATACGAAAATGTACCTAGGTGCGTATCTAGCTACTCGCTTAAAAATGTACCTAGGTACAGGTACAGTTACTTCAAAGGTACTTTTTATTTTCACGTCAAGTATTTTTTCTCAAATTTATCACATTAATATTGGAATTAAATCCTTTGTATAGTGGGATGTACACAAAAACAAGTTTGATAAACCTGCTTTATTGGTGTCAATGGGAGAAATAAGGCAAAACGCTCACCAGAGCATTCGAAGACTTTGTCTTTTTCACATGGGTGTTCGATTTGACCTCAGAATCAGGACTTCTTCGAAATGTTCATCCGACATCTTCAATCGCATTTTGGTAGCAATGGTTCCTCCTATGCTAAAAACGTGCTCTACCGCCGCACTGCTTGGAAGCTTTGTGTTGAATTTTAAGAATACGCTTTTTAGCAGCGGCATGTGCTTGAAACAGTCCAGACTTCTTGTCGGAGCAAGTTTGGTGTACTGTACAGTCAGCGAGAAACAGCCACCGGAGGAGCCTCCAACTCGGTAGAAATTGGCAAATGGGAAAACAGACGGGCCCGGGGGGCCAATAAGGTCACTGGAGCGAGGCACGTGACGGCGCTGCACAGATGTCCACATCGGAGTTGAGTCCTCGTATGCCTCACTCTCACGCTCCAATTGGCTCACCGAGGACACAGCTTCCATTGTTTACAACGTCCCGCTCAAACTCGCTTGTTGACGTGGCTTGCCCTTCAGCGCCAGCACTGGCATCGAAGCCATCGGCGGGCCCTGAAGACGTCGGCCGCACGGAGAAACGAAGAGTCGAGTGCATACGCACCAAACATTCGCAACGCAACGATGCGCGAAGGTCTTCAAGCTTTCACGTTTTTTCTTTCGTTTTTAGGAAGGAAGAGAATATTGTGACGCGAGCGCGTTTAGGAGCTCGTGTCTCAGAAAATCCGTCGGATGTCGGTGGCGTGACGGGAAATTTCTGAATGCTCGATAGGGTCGTGACGTCACAGCCACATGACTTCGCGCGGGAATTTCAATCAACCCACAACGCTCATGTGAAACGTGACGTCACGCGTGGAATGAAGGTGGTTAAAGACATACGAATTAATGGTCGCAGCATGTGTCAAATGATCCCACTTGATAAACTAATTCAATTGCCTTAAAGAAAAATTTGAAAAATTTACGGAGAATCGCACCCACGACCCTTCGGTTGCGAGCCAGACATGATACCGACTAGGCAACGGAGGGCTTGGGAATGGCACTGCGATCCTGCCGTCATTAGAGTGCCTCGATGTCTGTCTGCGTCAGGGTAAAGGCATTATCGCATCGAGTGTTGTTAGCACGTGCCCAGCAAACACATAAATAAACCTTGCGGGGTAAAATGGCATCAAAGCACTGGCAAAAGCTCCTCGATCGCGACGGGAGTGTTGTATCATAAGAACTAGGTCGTTGTGTGACTCAAGAGCATGAGAAGCGATTGAGAAGGCCATGCGAACGGGGCCCGATAACCCTATCGCGTTCAACTCTTAAAGGCGAAGGTGAAACGTCCTCCCATTTTTTTTCTTTTCTTCGCAAACATTTTCGGTTTTATAAAGTGCAAATTTTGAGTTTGATTTATTGAGTGGAAACACTACGTGATGTTAAATCGCTTTATGACTGTAATTATAATTTATTTTCAGTTATATGTTATATTGTATTTTCTACGATTTTGACGAAGTGAATAGAAAAGTACCTGTAAAAAGTAACTTCACTTAGTTACAAGTTACTGGAAAATGTACCTAAGATACAGATACAGATACTGAGACATGAAAGTACCTAGGTTTGTACCTCAGGTACAACAAAACTACCTAGATACCGATTTACAGTTACTTGTACCTAGGTACTTTACAACCCTGGTCAGCGGTGATGTCGGGCAGCGGGATCGCTTCCGGCCAGCGGGTGAAACGATCGATGCACGTCAGCAGGTACGCCTGTCCCTGGGATCGTGGCAGCGGTCCCACAATATCTATGTGGATGTTGTTGAACCGCACGTCAGGTTGGTCGAACTTTCCCAGTGGTGTTACAGTGTGGCGCTGAATTGCGGAGCTTTGACACTGCAAACAGGTGCGGGCCCACTGGCGTACGTCCTTGTTAATACTGGGCCACAGAAACCGGGATGTTTGAAGGTGTTGTGTGGCCTTGATACCAGGATGAGAATGTCCATGAAGCGAGTCGAAGATCTGGCGACGAAATTGTTGGGGCACGTATGGGCGCGGGTATCCCGTCGATGTGTCGCAGATGAGGTTGACGGACACTTACGAAGGGGAACCGCGCGGAAAACGAGCTTGCCGGGTATTGTTTAAAGGTCGCGCAGTTGTGCATCCTCGCATTGTACCTCTGCCAATCTCTCGAAGTCGATGGCGGCTAGTGAGTCGACGGTGCAGGCACCTATTCGCGAGAGAGCATCCGCAACGACGTTGTCTGCGCCGTGGATATGACAGATGTCGAACGTGAATTCCGAGACGGAGGACATCTGCCGCAGCTCTCTCTGGGAGTGACTGCCGCCATCTGATCTCAGAAACTGGAAAGCGTGGACGAGGGGCTTGTGATCGGTCAGCACAAAGAATGTGCGACCTTCTATGAAGTGCCTGAAGTGTCGTAAAGACAGGTAAACACCGAGTAGTTCGCGACCGAAGGTGCTGTACCGCCGTTCAGTGGGTGTTAACTTCGGGGAGAAAAAGGAGAGCGGTTGCCACTGTCCGTTGACTTTCTGCTGAAGCACTGCACCGACGGTGTTGTCCGAAGCGTCGGTGACCACGGAAAGTGGGGTGGCTTCCTTGGGGTGCGT